CTCTGGGAGTATGGGGTACCAGGTCCATTGATACGGGCTGTTAGGTCCCTGTACGACCAGTGCCAGAGCTTGGTCCACATTGCCAATATTAAGTCGGACTCGTTTCCTGCGAGAGTTGGACTCCGGCAAGGTTGCCCTTTGTCACCGATTCTGTTCATAACTTTTATGGACAGAATTTCTAGGAGCAGCCAAGGTGTTGAGAGGATCCTTTATAGTGACCTTAGGATCACATCTCTGCTTTTTGCAGATGATGTGGTCCTATTGGCTTCATTAGATCATGAGCTACAGCTCTCACTGGAGCTGTTCGCAGCAGAGTGTGAAGCAGCTGGGATGAGGATCAGTGCCTCCAAATCCCAGACCATGGTCTTGAGCCGGAAAAGGGTAGGGTGCCTTCTCCGGGTCGGGGAGGAGGTCCTGCCCCAAGTGGAGGAGTTTAAGTATCTCGGAGTCTTGTTCACAAATGAGGGAAGAATGGAGCAGGAGATTGACAGGTGGATTGGTGCTGCGTCTGCAGTCATGCGGGCGCTGTACCGGTCTGTCGTGGTGAAGCGGGAGGTTTACCAGTTTACCAGTCAGTCTACGTTCCTACACTCATCTATGGTCACAAGCTTTGGGTAGTGACAGAAAGAAYGAGATMGCGGATACAAGCGGTTGACATGAGTTTCCTTCGCAGGGTGTCTGGGCTCTCCCTTAGAGATAGGGTGAGAAGCTCAGTCATCTGGGAGGGACTCAGAGTAGAGCCGCTGTTCTTCCACGTTGAGAGGAGCCAGTTGAGGTGGCTCGGGCATCTGGTTAGGATGCCTCCTGGACGCCTCCCTGGTGAGGTGTTCCGGGCACTTCCCACTRGGAGGAGACCCAGGACACGGTGGAGGGACTATATTTCTCAKCTGGCCTGGGAACACCTTGGGATCYCCMCAGATGAGCTGACCCAAGTGGCTGGGGAGAGGGAAGTCTGGGTCTCTCTGCTTAGGCTGCTGCACCTGCGACCCGATCCCGGATAAGCAGAAGAAAATGACGGATGGACGGACGAGGCCAACAAGTTTTTTTTTGCAACTGAGAAATGGCAACCCTACCCAACAGTGTCTGATTACTGATGAGTTTCTGCATAAACACAGATTTTATTCCATAATTCTAGTTAATGGAAACCAGTAACCCATCCATTGATGTTACTCACCTTGTTTTCATCAGCAGCACTGGGTCTGAGCCTGCCTGGGCTAGGAGGAACTGACAGACGCTTTCTGCCTTTCTCCTGCTGGAACAGCTCCTGAAGTCTGCATCAAAAACAAGCAGTGTACATTTGCAAAYCTGCATTCTGGTTCTATGTTCTTTTAAGGGTGGATTTAGTGTTTTACACTGCTACATTTTGGTTTAACTCCTGTTAAATAAAGGATCCATGTTCATCTGAAGATATATTTAACTAATTTTAGGACCTGATGATTGTTTTTTTTTTTTTTGTTCTGTTATGTAAGTCTTTTACCAGTATTGGTCCAGTCCTTTCTTTGTTGCCATTAAGTGTATGTTGATTTTTATCCACTGGCTRATTAGCACATAACCCTGATCATAATAAGCATACTGATTAAAGCCCACTGAGTGGTTCTGACCTGTTGT